GCAAGAAGGAACCGGAGGGGTCGGGTCGGCAGGGATATATATACCCTAGAGCGGGGCGCCGCTCTGGCGGGAGGGAGGGGGCCCTGCCGGCCCGACGGGAGCCGCTAAGGGAAAAAGTTTCCGACGTCCGTGCACGCGGAGCGCGTACACCTAATGTGTAATGGACGTGAACAACACATCTCGAAGAACAACAGTTACAGAAGGTAAGTAACCGTTCTATTTTAAATGTCCACAGCAAGAGCTAATTCAGCTTGACTTTTGGTAATTCTTGCTTTACTCCTACTTTTTCTAACCTCCACAATATAGATTTTTTTGCTGATCAACCCCTTTTCTTATTCCCTATAGGTTCTCTGCTTACTTTATTACACCTAATAAACTTTTTAGGTGGTTATTCATCCAGCTGGGTCTGTAGCCTTTCCCTACAAGTTCTTTTCCCTTTTCTTATGATGCAAATTTCAGATAGTTTTGTATAGTTGATTTGAAGAAATTCCCACCCACCTCCATATTTGTTTTTTCTGCTCTTCAGTACAGTTGATGTCTTTAACTAATTCTTTTAATTGACCAAAGTCTGCCCTTTTACAATAAAAAATCATAGTTGACAACCTGGTTTTGATTATCTTTTCATTTAATTTAAATTGAATCAGCCCATGATCACTCGATCCAAGGTTATTTCTTATGACTAGCTCTTCCTTGATGTCCTCACTACTTACCAAAAGCAAGTCTAAAATTGCATCAACTCTTGTTGGTTCAGTGATGATTTGAGGAAGAAAACTGTCATCTATCACATCCAGGATTACATGGATCTTACCAGTTTTTGTAGCATTTATTCTCCAACTTTACCATTCTTAAAAGTATTTGTCTCTAATAATATTGGAGATCTCTGTAGTAGGAAACGCCCTCGCTCTTGAAGACTGAGGATTTTAGCAGCTGTAGGGCAGGGAACAGCCAGCCTGAGATACCCCAAACAGGGAAATTATACTCTCTCCCTCCCTCCTGCATCCTAACTTCAATAGGTAGGTAGGAGACCCAGAGACATCCCACCAGTGTATCTGTTGGGTGGAAATGAAGGCGGGGTATAAACCATCTCTTCTCTCTCATGCACTCGGGCTCTTTTACAAAAAGCTGTAATGATAGAACTGCCTGCAGAACAGGAAAAGCAGTGAGCATTGTCATTGTCTATAGAAACTTCCTGGCTGGGATTTGTTCTCCCCAGTCCCTCCCTGTTCTGATGGGGCTTTTGGCTTTTCTGCTTTTTGCCATAGCAGCCCGTCAATCCTGCTAGTGAGTTTGAAGAGTAAGTAGGAGGGTAGTGTTGGCCAGCTCATTATCTGCCAACTCTTCTGAGCACTTAGCCTCTTTTCATTAGTTTACCTGCAGTAAGGAAAGAAGTCAGGGGCTCAAACTTAATTTTAAACAGAAACGTCAACACTGTACCTAACAGTTCTGTAGCTTTTTCTGTTTACTAAGTTTTACATAATAGAATTTGTTTTTACCTTTTTCTTTAGCTAACAAAACACAGAACCCACCCCTAGGAAATTATACACAACCCCCCCCCCCACGTTAAAAAAACATAATTTAGGTTGCAAAGTCAAGCACTCAGTAGTTAGGAAACACTATACCTATTTGGCAGGGGGAGGAAGGTGGGAGAGAGAGACGCACACATTAATATTTGGAAATATTTATGCCAAATGAAAATGTTAAATAATATGGATGTGATAGAATTATTTTCACTAATTGTGATATCTCTCTACAACTTGCTTTTGACTTTTTCACTTTCTAGTCACCGTGTCAGGCTAAAAGTGTTCTCTAGTTCACAACGCTATATATCTTGTGTAAATATTTCTATGTATACATTATTTTGTTTCATTAATGTTTCGGCTTGGCCCTATGTTTTGGTATAATTTATCATATGCTGTGATTCATCTTTTAAAATTATTGATATATTAATGTTCTGTTACTAGCATAATAATGCCTGTAGTCATTTATACTATAAATACACACAAAATCAGCTGACAAAATTTTCAATCTTGGGAGCCTAAAGTTGGGTGCTTAATTCCATATTTAGGAGCTTAAATAAGTGGCTTTATTTTTAGAGATATTAGACACCTTGAACTGTTTCTGATGTTATATCTACTTAAGACTCTCAATATTTATTTAAGAGCGTAACTTTAGGGGGTCTATGTTATAAAATTTCGGTCCTTGGCCTCTAACTAGTCTAAAATGCCATGTGCAATAATTACATTATAAATTAATACAAATGCTAAAAATAGTAGGGTCCATGACCTTCATACCACTACTAAGTTTCAACACATCACATTGCTAAAATAATGGGATTTTCTTTAGAAACTAGCTGTTTTCTGTCTCCGAGTATATCTCGAAACGGTTGATTCATAGAAGGAAATGCTGTAAAATAATTTGAAGTGGGAGTTATTTTATAAGGAATTTATATAAATTGTCATGTACAGAAGCTGAATGTCTATGTTCATTGTATCTCTTGTAAACTATTCACTACCTACTGCAGGGCTGGCTCTAGGCACCAGTGCTCCAAGCATGTGCTTGGGGCGGCACTTCCCAAGGGGCAGCACTCCGGCCCCTCCCCCTCTTTTTTTTTCTTTTTTTTGCTTGGGGCAGCAAAAAGCCAGGAGCCGGCCCTGGTCAGAGCCCTGCCACTGGAGAGCCAGAGCATTGTCCCCTGGAGCCAAGCCCGGGCTGCGGCGGCGAGAGGGGCTCCCGGAGTGTGTGAGGAGCCGGGGAGGGAGGGAAGCGGGGCCCGGAATGCAGGGAGGGAGGAGGGGTCCTGCTGCCACCACCGCTGTCTCCCCAGGGCAGTGCGGCGTTTCCCCGCCCGAGTAGGCTGTGCAGGGCGCCGCCGAGCTGGGCAGGGGGCGCGGATCCCGGCTCGCTCGCTGATGGGGTGAGTGGCTGAGCAGCCCCAGCTACTAGGGAGCTGCCCCCTCTGCCCCTGGACCCAGCCCACTGTACACCCCCCCCCCCCGCTCAGCCCCACGCTGCTTGCCCTGGGCCCTCACAGCACCGGGGGTGGGGAAAGGCAGAGCCCGGCTCCGAGCGGGGCAGCAGGAGATACTGCCCCGCCGGGGGACCCCCGCGGCTCGGGCACCTGGGGGTCAGTGTCCATCCTCTCGGCTCTGCCTGCACGGGGCTGGGGAAGCAGCTGTCAGCGCCTGCCCCTCTCAGCCCTTGCACCCCCCATCCCGCTCGCAGCCTCTTCACTTGTACCTCCCCCCCATCGCTCCTTCGCTGCACCCCCTCCCCTTGTACTCTCCCTTCACCTGCACCTTTCCCCTTGTACCCTCCCCCAGCCCTCTCCTCCTGCACCTCCCCCTTCCCCTGCACCTCTTCTCCCACAACCCTCCTGATACCCTCTCTACTCCTCCACCCTCCTCTGCGAGTACATCACATACTTCTCTGCCAGTGTAGAGCCCCCAAGCACCCCCACATCCGCTCCTCTGCCTGAACCCTCTTTACTAGATCCCCATCCTTTCCAGGTACAGGGTTTGAGGGTTAGTCCCTGTGCCTTCCATGTGCATTTGGAGCACTAAAGATGGAGTTGCGGGGGATGGGGGGTGCCGAGATTTATACTAAAGTGAAATAAAAATAGGAGAAACGCTTTGATCCCCACTGCAAGTGTAACGGGGATTGCTGTGGTGAACGAGGAGATCACGTTTGTAGGGGTGGGGAGCCCAGGGCTGGGGCAGCAGGGGGTGTGGGTGGGGGAGGGCACTGGAGTGGGGGGCAGCCAAATTTTTTTTTGGTTGGGGCGGCAAAAAAACTAGAGCCGGCCCTGACCTACTATATGGTGTATTTTCATTTCATTGATATACAGTACATTGCAGCAGGTCATCAAGTGTGAAGAAGGGACAGTAATGAAAGGTTACATAAGCTTTAATGTTGATAGATGTGAAGTACTGTAAAGTCGTTTTTAACGTTTTTGCTTCTATAATAAGTAGAAAACAATCTTGTGATTTACACAGACGTTTCAATAAATACATATTTAATTTATTTACCTCCTGTGAGAATAGGCAACTAAAAGAGAGGAGTATATATCCAGTCTAGGGCCCCAATCTCTAAATCTCAGGCAATAGTTATTTTTCCCACTCCTAGGAATATGAGATAAATAAAATAGACCCTATTCTTTAACATTAACTTCGCTTTCTAAAAATTGAAATCTCACTATATGGTTGATTAGCTCTATTATCTGTGTCTGACACTATAAAATATTGAAAATTACGTCACTCTTGATTTAAAAACAAACAAACACAGACTTGAAATAACTGTACCAGTGTTAAGAAATCAGGTGCAGTCAGATGTATAACTTTGTGTTTGAACATGATATAAAGATTGTGGGTTTACTTGCAGTGACAGAAGGTTTTGGTTTTACAGGTACTTGCCTCCAGAGTGTTTTGTAGTTGGCAAAGAGCCACCAAAGATTTCAAACAAGGTTGATGTATGGTCAGTTGGAGTAATCTTTTTCCAGTGTCTTTATGGAAGAAAGGTGAGACAAAATGTGTTTAAAAACCTTGTACAGCTTTAAGACAAGCTTCTCTACGTATGTCTCCACTACGCACTGAAATTGTGGTCATAAAGACTTTGTTACTTCCCTTTCTGAACATTGATATTATGTTCGTTGATACCTCTTTCAAACAATGTCTAACCTGACATAAAAATGTCATTTTACTTAAAAGTGTTATTAGATATTTTTGTGAGCACACAGACAGTTTAAAATAACATAAATTAGAATGAAGATATGTTGTCACTGAAATTGATACCTGGATGCTTCATGAGGAAATTTATCTGAATTTATTTTTCAGCCATTTGGTCATAATCAATCACAACAAGATATCCTACAAGAAAACACAATATTAAAAGCCACAGAAGTCCAGTTCCCAGTTAAACCTGTTGTAAGCAATGAAGCCAAGGTAAATTTTCTTAGAACCTAATTGAGTAGCATGAAGCAAATACTAAATTTATTGATTGGTTTTAGAGTATTTACTATAGAAGCAAGCTATAAAATTACCACTAATTTAAGAATATCGTGTAAGTGGGAAAGACACAATGGACAGGTATTCCTGGTTACAGCCTCTCTTTACACTTTGAAATTATTTCAGTTTTTTGTACAATATATCTCTTTTGGAACTTATCCAAGATCAGATGCCCAAAAATAATCTGGGAAAGACTTACTTCATCATTTTACATTTACATAGTGCCTTTGTTCCAGAAGAACTCCAAGGTGCTTCAAACCAGGCCTTCCCAAAAACTCTCATCACTGATGCTGTCTGGTTTTGGTGTTTATTCCCTAGAAGACTCTGGCTGCCTCACTGTATTAGCTAATTAAGTCATTTCATTAAAATTTTGTTTTGTAACAGGCTGCTTCTGAAAATAGTGAATGTTTGTTACCTAGTTTTCTCAATCTGAAGAGCCAGCTTCACTGCTGGAATGCACTGGGAAAATGCCTTCTACCATTGCTCCCTTTGAAATTCATAATGTACCAGTCACATGAATTCTAGGCTGGTTAAGTAGTACATGTTCTCAAGATCAGATCAACTTCATGAGGGACAAGAATATCAAAATAGTTGGGCTGCCATAGAGCATGCAGGGCAGAGATCTGTACATTTAAAAAAACACATTATTTTGGGACTGGAAGAAATGTCTAACCCAGGGGTTCTCAAACTGGGGGTCAGGATCCCTCGGGGTCACGGGGTTATTACGGGGGAGGGAGGGTCGCGAGCTGTCAGCCTCCACCCTAAACCCCGCTTTGCCTCCAGCATTTATAATGGTGTTAAATATATAAAAAAGTGTTTTAATTTATAAGGGGAGTCGCACTCAATGGCTTGCTATGTGAAAGGGATCACCAGTACAAAAGTTTGAGAACCACTGGTCTAACCCCTTCTCCCTGGACATTCAAGATTCTACAGAGAAATGAGGATAAAAGGAGATTCCAATGACTTTGGTGATTATAGCTGTGGACATCTGTACCATAAACTAGGTTCTAGAAATTGGGGGAGAAAATAAATCGGAGGTACTTGATTTAAAATTGTTCTTATGCATACTCTGGATATTAGTGACCCTGACTCAAGCAAAAGACTTGATGCTGGTTCAAAATAATGCTATAGGAAAACAATTGGGCACTACTTCCAGTGTTCCAAAACAATTAATGTAACAATGTAAGGAATACATCTTTTGGGATCCAAATGGTGTAGAAGTAGGAGCAATGTGGAATCTTGTTCAAATAAGTAAGATTCTGCCTCTGGAGGTTAAGAGGGCAAAGTAGACATAATTTAATAACTGTAGAGACTACTTTTCAAGAAGATGTGAAAATCTTTTTGGAATGAACCTTTTTGTTATGGTTTGCCTGCATATATTTCTGTTGGTGATATTCTTAAAAGGAATTTCATATTGAGGAAGTTACAGTTAGGGGGTCACACAAAGTTTATGTAGACATTTCAAGAAGAATTGTTTGTCCTGTAATTTTTGTTCTTGGTTTGGAAAAATTGGGTCTCTTGTATTCAGTTAATGGACACAGGCACATACAATAGGAGAACAGCATGTGACTGATAAGCTTACATTTTTTGATAGTTTATGCCCCATACCTTTTAGTTTGACCCTAATGTTTTTTTTGTGATTGAATGTATTGAAGGAAAACATGAGGCAACAGCTATTTAAATGTGGTTGTAGTCAGAAAATGGCTATTTAAAACTGGCAATTTATTACCCTCTTTGTATTCTGAATAGTATTTGCTGCCATTAATGACAACAATTAATTGTTACTTATCTTTTACTGTTATTAGCATCAGTTAATCACAATACCTATATAAGAGCGATGCATTCTTTTCTGATATGTACACCAAGTGTAAACTAACATGCATTTGCAGACTTTCTATTGATGACAATGTGGAAGCAAGAAAGAAGTCAGATTGACAGACCTGGCAGTTGGAAAAAACACATTGTAAACTGAAAATTTGATCTAAAAATTATTGAGATTAAATAAACATGGATATTCTTGATGATATTTTTACAGTCAGTTTTCAGTGTGTGACTGCACTTTAAGATCCACATGTCATTTTCTTCCGATTTGTGTTTAGCTGTCTTTTGCATTATGTTATTGTTCCTACAGTGCTATAGGTACACAAAGATTTAAAAACAAAACCCTGCCCTAAGGACCTTGTAAACTACTTTCAGTAATTCATTTATTTTTTTAAATAAAATGTTAAAATGCTAAAATCCAAAAATGCCTAAGAACTGCTGAATATTAATATATAAACACATACATTTGCATGATTTTTTCCTTTATTTTCCAGTAGGAAAGTAACATATACTTTTATATAAAGACCTGCACTTACTGGATATGCAGTAGTTACAGTAAATTATGGTGAAACTGCTACGTCCGGTTTCTATGAAATTCGTATCACTAACAAATGCATGTTTTTCTTTGATCTTCAGTCTTTATTTTAGGACAAAGGGTAAAAAACTGAATTGCTTTATCAGGGAAAGGAGGATTTTTCCCTAATCTTCCCACAATCTAATTACTTAACTAAATACTAATTATTTTTTTCATGGTATGTTAATTAAATCCATAGCATTGTGTAACAGGATTAATGGCCTGTCTAAGAGGGAGCAGGGTCCAGTACGCATGCTGTCCAGTTGGGTTTAAGGGAAGGCCCTGGGGCCTTATAAAATGGGAGCTAGCAACAGGGGAAGGATGGCTACCCAGGACCTCTCTCAATCAAGGGAGGTAAGGGTGCTGGTAGAGGAAGCTGCAGGAGAGGCTGCAGAGAGAACGAGACTCCTGAAGGAGAGAGTAACTAGGGGAAGATCAGGACAGCAGCAGTGGAGGGTTGGCTGCTGACCCTCTCTCTGAGCCGGAGAGAGAGAGCTGAAGAAGGCTGAGCTCTAGTTAGGAAGGGCAGGTAGTGGCTGCTTGGTGCAGAGCAGATTTAGATAAAAGAACAGCTCCAGGATTGGATGAAGACACCAGAGCTGAGTATGAGCTTTTGTGTTGTGGTGATGGACTTTATTTTGGGACTTAGAGGATCATTTGTGTTAATGTTTTTAAGCTTTAACTTTTTGAATTTCAATGTCCACTGTTATTAAATTATTTTCTGATCCTCCCCCATGATTTTCCCCCAACTGTGAAACTTTAAATTAATTAAAAATTGGGGAAAAAAATGTTTAAAAATAAATATTATCCACGGATTTTTTTTTTAAATCACATTTTGTCAAGCCTGGTTATATAAGGTGGGGTAAGTAGGTTGGGGGCTGGGAATTAGCTGTGAGGGGATTTTCCAGACAACTTTTTTTAAATACAGGATGCTTAGAGGTACTGTGCTTTTCCAGCCTGGCATCCAGCACCATCAAGAGTAGCTTTGTGCTAGATTCCCTCACATCTAGGCAAACCAGTGTGATAAAACCTTCTTAACTTACAGAGGACAACTAGAATGGAGTAGTTTAATCAGCTTCTCATCTACTCTCCATCTGATTCACAGTAGAATTTCCTACAGTTTCCACAAAGGAAAGTTACAGAAATCTTCTACATTCTGAAGATGCTAATTTCTTTCATGCCATATGATCTTGTGAAAATATATTTGATTACACATTCAGTAATCCTAGCACAGTTTGACAGCTACTTAATTTCACTACCACAGAGCCTCCCAAATTCAATCTTTCTAAAATGGACCAAGATGATTTCTTCCCCCCCACCCCTGGTGCCAATATCCTATTTCTGGAACATTTCCATAGCTATCCTCATTATTACAGAGAACATCACTAAATCTGCTAGAGAGAACAACCCTTCTAGCATCACTGAATGGAAAAATAAGCATGTATCTGGAAGGACCATAGAAACCCACTGGCTACACACTTAACATGCATGCTCTCTCTACATTCTCAGATTTCTCCTGCACTTGCTTCAATTTATTGATTGCAAATATTATTTCAAAACAGTAATGTGTTAAAGGATGTTTGTTTTCATGTAAAATGTGGATTCCATAGTTTTTGTCTGTTCATGAAGTTTTTCAGATAAGATTGATTTTTTTTTTTAAGTGACACTAGTTTTGTTGTTACATGCTGGCAGATTAACAAGTATGTTAACAAGTGCCATTGAGGAATGGTTGGCTTAAAGTCAAGAAGAGTAAGGGAAGAGCAGAGCACAGAAGCCGAACTTTAAATCAATATAGGTGGTGGAAAGGGTAGTGAAGAGGTTTTTCAGTTTTGCAATCCTTAAAATGAAAAAACCTTGTAGGCAAAAGAAGGAAGATTATCTTCAACATTGCTGTTACAAGCTAATATTGTCATAGAAATGCCAGAGGCCTCACTGAAAGTTGCCATAGAATTCTGTCTGCTCTGCATTTGCTGTACCCTTCCTACCATTTTGACATAAGTGTTGCAGAATTCTAGGGACCTACTAGTTCGTTACAAATTACATTGTTCTGCTGAATTGAGCTGCTTGAAAACAACAACTCTTCTAGAACTTCAAACTGTTTAGAACTTGTTAAATCAACTGGAGGAAGAATTGGCTCATAAGCAGCATTCATTTTATTTGGAAGAGTAGTAATTTTTTCCCCCCTGCTTTTCTAGGCCTTTATCAGACGCTGTTTAGCATACCGCAAAGAAGATCGATTTGATGTCCACCAGCTGGCTAATGATCCTTATCTTCTCCCTCACATGAGAAGATCAAATTCTTCAGGAAACTTACATATGACTGGGCTGGCAGCATCCCCTACGCCACCTACTTCAAGCATTATTTCGTACTGAAATTTCTCCAAGTGAAGACTGGCATGATATATTTATAGTTTCCAGATGCAGACTAGTTTGTGAGCATTTGAGTGTTTTTACACAGGACAACTTTGATTACTGTGTTTTCAGACTGAAGTCCTCCTGCTTAGTGTCCATTTGTTTGATGGGAATGGATCATGGACTGTGAATAAATATACCCTTTTGACTGTAACCTTTAAACATTGAAGAATGATACTGCTTGTTGCACACAAATCGATGTGCTGTGTTTAAGAGTAAAGAAAAGGTTTTGGGGTTTTTTGGGGAACACTGTAAATAATCTTTTTAATACTTATAAAGTACATTTGGTTGATACTGGAGAGTGCTAACATGAAGGGTAGTTTTTCATTATTTAAATAAGAAAAGTAATGGACAAATTTGAACACACAGGAAAGGTTCAGTGTCTGGACAAAAAAAAACAACAACAAAAAACCTACTTCCCAAGTGGTTGAAACCAAAGTAAGAAGTGAGTGTCACAGTTGTATTCTGTATAAAGCTTTTCTGAAAAAGTTATAATCTTTTGTTTGGCTATTTGGTCTTATTAAAGGCTGTACCTCAAAACCCATGTGTCCTCGTTTCACTGAGATTTGAAGGGTGATGCATAGTTTCTGGTACATTATCCCTCAAATAGCTAATTTTGAACCCATCTACATTCTTTAAATTTATTATACTTGTCACAAGTTTTGACAATGCTGCCACTTTCCAGGCCTTTGAGAAAAGTAAATGATAACCTGTCTGCGCTTGGATATATGCTATGTATGATGTTCTATGCAGGATAATGATGAATTCCCTTCTAATGCTATTGTAAATTGTTGTACAGAGGTCATATTTTTAGTTATTAAATTTCAGCCACTTATTCCTGTACAAATGTTTAAAGTATGGCTTTTTCTAATTGGATATTGTATTTTTTTTTAAGTCTCCTTGAAGGCGCTTTTAATTGCTGCTAAATTATGTTGCTTTTACTTTTGCAGAAGAATCAAATGACCTCCTTAAAGTGCAAGTCAGCTGTACGTTATAGAGAGATTAAAAGTAGATGATTCATTAACAATCAAGGCATGTAAAAGAAATCTGTGTTGGACATATACAGTACAGTTCTTTAAGTCAGTTTCTTGTGCTCTCAACCTGTGGAGCACATTGATACTAGATATAGAAGTTGTTCATGGTTATTTTCTATTTCTGGAAGTTCCTATCAACAAGGAAATGTTTCTTGTGGCTTGTACAGATATTTTAAAATGTGAAACATTTTCTAACTGCCTTGTATGGTAGAAATTTATTTTTCAGAACTCTCTCTCTTACATACATTATTCCTTTTACTGTCCCATTCATGATGCTGAATACCTAGATGTAATTTTGTCCATGCTGCAGAAAAAGGAGGCTGTATTACCACAGGTTTTCATTTAATATTGTACAGTTAAACTGTGGCTCTTGTTTTTGATGTTGCAAGCCATTTTGTTTTCATTGTACATAAAGATACATTAACTGTCTCTTTAAGATGCTGCTGAAATTGTAGAGAATGTAGCCAAAACAGTAATAAACAATGACAGTTGAAATTTCAAGTATGTATAAAGTTATTGCATCTGGGGAATCAGCTTGGCCACACCTCTCAGACACTGCTAAAAGCAATTATTTTGCTCACAAAAAAGCCAGTAGAACTTAAATCTTTAAATACTTGAAGGGTCCCAAAATATTTCAGACAACAGTGGTATTGCTGCTGTTCTTTCTTACGGAGGCATTACTGTGGTGAGTGGGACTCATAGAAGTCATCTTAAGTGAAGGTTTCAAACTACTCTGTTTCCCACAGAAGAAAACATAACATTTTAGGTCCAAATAGTGGCTTTTCCTCCTCAGGTGTACAAGGAGTCCTCTCCCCATTGTACCATCCACACTGCAAAGACATAGCTGTTTCTCTTGCTCTCTGAGCTCAAGTGAGAATCGGGGTAGGGGTCATAGCTAGAAATATTCTAGATACTCTAAATGTTGTTACACCTTCCCGCACCATGTCTGTACTGATGTCTGCAATTAAGTCAAGGACTATTTTTGCTTTACCAAAAAAAAAATACAGGACTGAGTAAATTGTATTGTTATTCAGATTGTGTTAATTATGTATTACATCTATTATATAGTAGTGCCTGGAAGGCCCTTGAATAAGATACAGCCTGTTCCTGCCCGAAAGAGCTTACAATTTTATGAATGTTGTTACCTAAAAATTAGTTTTCACACATACTGAGCCTCTGGAACATTATCTGCCCCGGGAAGAAGGAATTTGTTTGTTAATTACAAATTTAGCTTTATTCTGTATGGACCACATGAGTTTTTCCTGATGTCAGTTCAGAATGTGAGATGATATGGTGGAACATATCATAATTGTTTGTTTTTCTGTATTTTGGAAGTTTTTATACCAAACATTTATACAGATCAGAGCCCTAGCTCTGTAACATATTCTGTTCTTTTCACATAGCTTTATCATCCAGGTGGCTTTTCTACATAGGCTCTTCCTAGCCACGTACCATAGAAAAGGTGCTGGGGGATGCGGGAAGAAAAAGCTACTTGATATGGGGAAAATGCAGAAACTTTAAAAATAAAGATATTTATCAGGAAAAGCACTGTAATATAGCTTTGATGATGTACCTAATAGAAGGTTGAGAATGAAGACTTGCTTTCCTATTACTGTACTGTTGTTTAATGGCCTAGACGTCAGTGTGTCCTGTCAATGACCGATGCCTGTTCAGTTTCTTTTCAACCCATTAGAAGGCAAATTTGTTTGACTTTTTACACCTCTTCCCCCAAAAGTTTATAATAATAAAAATGATCCCTGGACTGGAGAAAGCTTTGGGATTCTTCAAGACTAAAGGTGTATAAATCTGGGAGAATACTAAACTGGCATAATATATTATTTTTACATATTCTTTCACTATGTACATGGAGTCATTTTATATTTGCAATAAGACAAACCAGTTTTATCTCAATTTAGTACCCTCTAGTGCAGTGGTTCTCAAACTTTTGTACTGGTGACCCCTTGCACATAGCAAGCCTCTGAATGCGACCCCCCCTTATAAATTAAAAACACTTTTTTATATATTTAACACCATTATAAATGCTGGAGGCAAAGCAGGGCTTGGGGTGGAGGCTGACAGCTCGCGACCCCGCATGTAATAACCTCATGATCCCCTGAAGGGTCCTGACCCCCAGTTTGAGAACCCCTGCTCTAGTGCCTAATGTTCAGTGGAGTATGTTTGGGGAGGAATTCTGTTTGTACTGACACTTGGAGCTTCAAGTGTAACTTGTGATAGAGAATGTCACATTCGTCTGATACTCTGCATGTGTATATTACTAATTAGTCGATATACATTTTAAAATTTTTACCTCGTATTGATCTGTCACTAAAATTTTTAGATCATCCTCTGAATTACAAGCAGAAAAAGAGAAATGAAATAAACATAGGCAATGTACTTTCATAATGAACCTAAGAAAAACAAGTCTAATAAATCTTAAAGTAGTCAGATATAGAATTTTTGCCTTCACCTAGAAGTGAAATGGGAGTGTCAATCAGAAAAGCTGCACATTGTTAGCTGTGGTTATAGTGTTCTGTTACAGGTCACATTAACCACAGTTAACAATAGTTGGCTTGTCTCACAAAACACCCTTTTCAAGCTCCTCAGAGATGCCAGAATAGTCTGTTTGGATACTAATATCAGATTTGTTCAAACCGCAGTGCAGAACATTATGTACCACATCTTATTGTACAGTCAGTTGTTAGACACAGTGTTCAGGAAAACTAGTTAATGTTTTAGTTTGCCCCAAGAACCTCAGCAATACCAGCAAGAAGACAGGAATTGTGTTGCGTTGCTGGCCTCCTGCCCAGATCCTATTGACTGCACACACTATGGCTATTAGTGAACTGCTGCATAATTAGTGGAGCTTTCAAGAATTACAAAGCTCTGAATGCTTTCGGTATGCAAGTCATGCATGATGCTAGGTGCAGAATCACTGATGTAACAGCAAGATTCCCTGGAGGATGCTATATTTTAGTTAGAATGAAACATAAAAATTAGCAACCCCTAAAGACTTAAGAGGTGTTGGTAAGGTGTGTTTAAAATTAAATACCCTTGATACATGCTATAAAGCTGTTAAGTAGCCATGATGTGCATTGATCAGACTTTACTAGCAATCTAGAAAAACAAAAACGGGGCAGAGGGTTGGAGGGGAATGGGTAAACTTGAGGGCCAAGAAAAATAACATGGGTGTGTCTCTACAAAGCTCACCTCAGCAGTATTGAACTGTCCTGTTTGTTACCAGGTGACAGTAAATACGAGCCAGATTCTGCCCTCAGTTTTTCCAGTGTAAATCCATGTAACCTCAGTAGAGTTACTCTAGATTTACATGGGTAGAATGTGGCTCATTTGTGTGCAAGACAGCAGCTACACCAAGCTGTCATCTGAGACAGCATAGGATTCTTATGATCTTCAGATGTTAAAAAGATGTCACAGTGTTTAGGTGACGGGTAAGTGTTTACCATCCAGGATGGTGTCAACGCATAGAGTTATATGGGTTCTCATGGAGTCCTGCCATTTATGATCCTTATGTGGCCTATTTACTAATGTTGGCTGAGCTTGTTCCAGAATTTAAGTTTTTTTTCTTAAATATTCATTTCATTTTATTTTATTTGTACTAAGTAACAAAGGCAGGGGAAATACAAATGCATCAGCCAGAGAAACATTCATTGCTGGTGTCAAACAATAATCCATTGAGATGTTTCTTTTGTACAATGAAGATGGACACTAAGAGAGCTCCAGAGGTTGGTTAATCAGTTTATTGCATGTACCAATAAACAAGTATCTTTTTCCTTATTCTGATGGTGTCCATTCTTACAAGATGTCACCTCTGGTGCAGCTTTAGGAACCAGTGCTGTGTGTGTTTACTAGATAAATAGAAGTGATGGTTTAATGGCCTATGGAACTTATGAGGGAGCTGATGGATTTTCCTGCATGGCTTATGCTGGAGTCACAGGAGTAAGAGTTCTGCAGGAAGATATGTTGGGAGAAGCGAAATCACAGGGAAATAATTCTTTTTTAAAATTATACCTTAAATTCAGAGAGTGAATATTTTCGGGGGTGGGTTGATTAATGGACTTGCATGGTGTTGAAAGGTCATTATTAGCACCACTTTGGTGCATGCGTGCTGTATATTCCACATATGCAGGGATTGAATTGCCATGGAAGAAGGAATCCTGCTGTGTTGTTACCAGATTTGCCCGTTACTTTGGGGTATGCTCATTTATTAGGGTTATTTTTCCAGGGGGGGGGAGGGGGAGGATGTTCTGTAATTCTATCAATCTACTGTTTGAGTCACTTGTGTTCTCATACCGAGCTCTACTTCTCCCTTCTGCAAGTTCCCTCCCAATGGAGCTATCCTGCAGGCCCTAGGTTCCCCAGGGCTGGGTTCTTCCAGCCACAGAATCAGATGAACACACACACATTAACAAAGCGTGTCTGAGAGAAGTGGGTTAATCAGCACTCCCAAGCTGACCCCTTATATGTTGCTTTAACATCACTGCCCCTTCTCCCCACCCCCACATGGCAGCCCTGCTGGTAGGGACCCTACCAGCAGGGCCACCGATGGAGGAGGGGGAGCAAAAGGGATGACGTTAAAGTGCTGTGGCGGTGCTTTAACGTCATTGCCCCCTTTTGCCCCCACCCCCGGCCACTGATGGGGTGGGGGGGGGAGAGGGACGGGACTGAGGCAGCTGTCCTGGGGCCGGAGATTTAAAAGGGCCCGGGCTCCCAGCCGCTACTGCAGCAGTGACCGGAGCCCCAGACCCTTTTAAATCGCCGCCAGAGCTCTGGGTGCTGCGGGCCGGGCAGCATGGTAGGGTCCTCTGCATACTATTGTTATACAAAAAAGAAGCTCAAGTCTAAATTTCACAATCTGGGCTTCATTCCCAGCTCAGCCATAGACTTTTTGTGTGAATTTGGGCAAGTTACTTCGCACTCCCTAAGCTTCAGTTTTCTCCTGTCAGGTGAGAACAAATAATACTTCCTTACTGCACAGGCTAAATTCTTGGGCATTTGTAGAGTGCTTTGAGTACAAAAGAAGTACAAAATATCATACGGTATCTGTTAAATATCATGAATACTTACAAAACTGAATCTACACACCAGACATCCTGTGCCCACTGAACATCATACGTATCACTGTAATCTGTTCAAGTGGCTTTTATTTATGTTCCATTACTTTTGCAGTGAAGGAGTTTGTCACTGGGATCAGGTAGACCCAAGGGGTTGGTTGGTTGAGTGCAAGTCTAATGGGTAATTATTCTTCATTCTCTATAAGTTCCAGGCCAAGTTCCTTTGAGCTAATATGTTGACACTGGGGAAGCCATACTGGTGGTAGTGCTTCTGGAACTAAAGGGAGACCACAGTGTTTGGTATCACCTGGGAGCATCAGTTTTGAGTCAGGTGGATGGGGCTAATTGGCTGTAGCCTAATGGATGAGGGGTGTTGGCACTATAAAGCCTGCTCCAGTCTCGATAGATTCAGATAGCTTAGGCAGAGGCCTG